TTTTTCTACAAGGTGCTTTACTGTAATTCCTATCATGAGATTATATGTTTTGTGAAAGAAGGGACAATCTGTTTTTTTTTTTTTTTTTTTGAGACAGAGTCTCGCTCTGTCTCCCAGGCTGGAGCGCGGTGGCGCGATCTCGGCTCACTGCAAGCTCCGCCTCCCGGGTTCCCGCCATTCTCCTGCCTCAGCCCCGCCTCGAGTAGCGGGGACTACAAGCGCCCGCCATCACACCCGGATAATTTTTTGTACTTTTAGTAGAGACGGGGTTTCACTGTATTAGCCAGGATGGTCTCGATCTCCTGACCTCGTGATCCACCCGCCTCGGCCTCCCAAAGTGCTGGGATTACAGGCGAGAGCCACCGCGCCCGGCCACAGTATCTTTTTTGTCACGTATGTATCTCTCATGCTTCCCACGCTGCATGACACATAGTGGCATATTTGATATGTATTTGTTGAGTTAATAAAATGTAAACGCACCAACTTTTCTCTTCAGTCAACATTGACCCTACCGTTGGTGAAAGCAGTGATAGCACGATAACTTTTAGACAATTATGAATTGCAAATGACATGTAAGTAAGATTACACTATTAAATACAGACTATTCTGCTTATATTACTATTAGGTTGGTGCAAAATAATGGCAAAAGCACACTTACTTTTGCACCAACCTAATATATTGAAGAAGATAATGAGAATTATTTAGTAATGATTATCTAAGATTATTTAGATTTTGGTATGGCCTCAGTAGAAAATACAGAGCAAGTGTTCATCTAAATTATGATGATTTCCAAGAGTAATTTTGCTCCTCTACTGAGTAGGCAGAATGATCTAAAAGTTGGTCGGAACTCTCCAATCTTTATTCCAAAGTCACTGCTGGCTTCATCTGTACTAAGGTAGGCTCACTCCAAGGGCCTTTGGGCTGGCTCGTCCCATTGCCTGGAATCCTCTTCCCTTAGATACCTGCTGAGCTATATTGTTCATTGTTTGTAACCCTTGCTACAAATGATAGGATTTTAAAAGATTTTTTTTTTCTAATTGTCATTGGTTTTATGAGTTTTTTTTTTTTTTTTTCCTTCAGGAAAAACGAAGTTTCATTTTGAAGTCATATAATTTGAAATAGAATTAACTAAGGTAAACAATCCAGAAATGATATTAATAGATAGATAATTCCATTGAAGTCACCATAGGTAGATTTAAAAGCTCATCTTCACTTTACAGAATTTCATGCCTTTTCAATGAAAGGAAAGTAAATGCAGAAACATGATGATTTTCTAATCTCACTTATTAGTGTCAGTTGATTATTGAACATTTTGTTTTTTACGTACATTAATATTAGAAAGGGACAGATTAATAGTCCTTCAAAACTACTGTCAACTTCTCTTTCCTTTGTTGTCAATTAAGCATGCATTCGATTCCATATTCCTACAGCAACATTTGATTAATACATGTCTTCTGAGAGCAATGCTTCAGTGTTATTTTAATACTGGTATACTGAGCCAGAAGTAAATATAAAAAAATATTATCTCAGTAGTTACAGCTGAAAAATGGTGAATGCAGAGAGGTTTGCCACAGGACAAATATTTAGTCAACAGAAAATTTCTTAGTTCTGGTTGTGTCTGGGGATAGTGGGAAAATGGAGGAAATTTGCAAAAGATCTTGTGGAAAATATATCTTCTTGACTTTTTAAGTAAATATAAACTTTAAAATGAAAATACCAATACATACCCTTAAGTGTAGATTTTACTTTACCATTTTATTTTATTTTTAAGTGGGACATTAGAGTTTTATTTAATTCCTTTATATACTCCTTCATTATCACTCCATTTCCAATCAAGTTTCAAGTTTCTATTACAATGATTGAAATATGATTTCAGTTTTTAAAATCCATGTCACTAATTTGGATTAGGCTATGGAAAACCTGTGCCGGCCGGGCGTGGTGGCTCACGTCTGTATAACCAGCACTTTGGGAGGCCAAGGTGGGCAGATCACGAGGTCAGGAGATCAAGACCATCCTGGCTAACACAGGGAAACCCCTTTCTAGTAAAAACACATACACACACACACAAAAAATTAGCCAGGCATGGTGGCGGGCACCTGTAATCCCAGCTACTTGGGAGGCTGAGGCAGGAGAATGGCGTGAACCTGGGAGATGGAGCTTGCAGTGAGCCGAGATCGCGCCACTGCATTCCAGCCTGGGTGACGGAGCGAGACTCTGTCTCAAAAAACAAAACAAAACAAAACAAAAAAACCCTTGTGCCAAAAAGGAAATGTGTCTGTCACATTACGGTTTTATAGGAGAAGGTTTAGTACTGGGAATTGGAATAGGAACTGTTTCAATATATTCTAATTAAATTTTTGACCAGGAAGGTAAATTTCAATGACTTTGGTTTGAGAGTTAAGCTCTAATTGGTACTATAGTTAGACCAGTAATTTTTTTTTTTGGCCAGTATTTTATCAAGAGGGAGATTTGTAGAAGATTAGTAAGGTCAGAGAAGTTTAATTTTTGAATTAATTTTATCAAGTATATGGCACTAAGGTAATGGTTGTTTGCAACTTAACTTTGGAAGGGGATCATCATTTATTAGTCCTTTTTGATATTGAAATTTTCTATTTTTTATAAAAGCATTATCATATAAATCAAATAGGAATCTCACAGCTTTTTTGTTATATCTTTCAGAATATTACTTTTCTATTTTAAGCTTATAGTAAAAATGGGATTTCAGAGTCCCAGTGTTCCAATATTCAACTATACAGTTCTTCCTGAGGTAGATGAAATGTTAGGATCAGATTTGTATCAACTTCCAGATTATTGGTTTTCCTCTTACTTTCTTCTTTGACTTTGGAAAAACAGCTGCCAAGGTTGATTTGAGACCTTTTATGACTTCTCTCACTCACAGACTCAACTATTTTAGCACTGACCTTTGTCCCTCTCTCAGGGATAGAGATAACTTGATACTACTAGTCACAGAGAAGGAAATTGAACATCAAGGGGAGAGGGAAGTAAACTAGAGAGAAGTAATACCAGTGAATTTTAAGGCAAAAAAGAATGGAAATTCCCCCTGGGTATTTTCACACAGAATCAGGTTATAAAAGCAGATAAAAATGTTTTATTGTTTTAGTTTTTTTGTCTGAAGACATAAAAAGAACTGCAGAGATGGGGAGGGAGGGTGTGCCATAAAGTCTTACTTGAAAAAGAGCTCTGATAATCTTGTTAGGCTGAATTTAGACTGTTACAGAATGTCTTTTTTTCCTTTTTACCTCTTCTACTTGTAAATGCATTTATGAGTTCTTTCTGAATTTTGAGTATCTGTGTTTCACCTGAAAGTCTGCACCAGATAGAGCTGAACAGATTGCCAATTCTTTTATCACCAAAACATTGTCCTATTTCCACTCCCTGTAACTATGTCTGCCAAAATTAAAGTACATTCACATGAAAGGAACATGCTTATAAATCATTATCAAGTGCATATGCGTTTCCACCATGATTTGTTTTTATCATGATGTTCATAACCATCTGGCATATATGTGTTTTTTGTTTGCTTGTTTATTATTTGTGTCCTCCCTTTGGATGGTAACTTTTGTGAGGAAAAATACTCATCTTATAAATCTATATTCCATTAGTTAGAGCAGTGTCAGGTACACAGTGGTTGTTAGATGTTGGCTAAACAAATGGATAAATGAGTCATCTTAGGCAGATATTTTTCTGCAGTGAAATTGTGCCCTGTCTTGATTTTGCAGAAATTTCTCACCACCATTTGGAGATCCACACCTGTATGTCCAACTGCCTACCTGACCTTTCCACTTGAATGTCTAGCAGGAATCTCACATGTCCGTAATGTTCCTCCTTATTTTTCAAACCAAGTCCATTCTTAGTCAGATATATGTCATAGACATCTCAAGTAAAAATGTAAGTAGTTACTCTACCTGTATATAATCCTACAAGTTTAGACAGCTCTACCTCCAAAAAAGTTGTTTAACCTATCTACTTTTTTTTCATCTTTTCATTTTCCACTTGGACAAGCTACTACTGTCTCTCATGTAGACCTCTGCAGTGACCTCTAAGTGGTCTCTCTGTTTCTAGTCTTGCCATTCTACCATCTATTCTCCACACAGCAGTTAAAGTGTTACTTAAAAATTATAAACCACTGTAGAGTGCCTTCCCTCTAGAATTAGAATAAAATACAAACTCTTTACTATGGCCTTAAAGAGTTCCATATTCTGGTTTCTGTCTTCTCTTCTACTTCATCTCATTCTACCTTTCTTACTAAACTCCAGGCACAATGACCTTCCTCCCATTCATCAACCAGGCCAAAGTCACATCTAAATCCAGGGCCTGTGGAACTTACTATATCCTTTGTTTAGAATGCTCTGCTCCCTATCTTGTCATTGCCAGGTCATCTTGTCATTCAGAAATCAGCTCCAGTCTCCAAAGGAGTCCCCAGTCATGCTTCATTACATTCCCTAATTTATTTTCTTTGTAGAACTTAAACTATATAAAATAACCACATAAACTTCTTTTCTAGAACAGAAACTCCATGAGAGCTGAAAGCAAGGACTTTGTCTGTCTGATTACCTGTCCTCTTCCTAGAACAGTGCCTGGCATATACTAGTAGGTGCTCAATAAAATATCATAAGTATAGACATATCAATGAATATGTAGAGATATGTATTCACAAAAGTTCAAAAGATAGCTAAAATATCCTTGCTGTTTTTGTTGAATATGAAAATGTTTTAGACTTGCTAAAACTATCAATTGACATAGAGATAAGGAAGGAAGCAAAAGACACATAGTTTTTTGAGCTCTAAGCTTATGGAGCAAAGGCAGAGGTGGGGAAAAGCCTGTATGTTCAAGTGACTAGAAAAGCAATCCAGCGCCAGTGTGAGTGGTTTTGTTATTAGGATGGACGTGCCAGTCTTCCTATTACTGCGTCTTCCTGCCAGCTGCCATTTCTCTGAGACATTAGAGTATCAACTTGAAAAGGCTATGTTCCATAAATCTTAAGGAGCAATCAATGCTTTTTCTTTTAAAAAGTGAGAGTTTCAATTAAGTTTTAGAAAGTAAGGTTATCTTTGAGATGTAAATAGTATGTTAACATTGTGCTGGACTCTAAAAAGCTAAGTACATTAACTTGGAATGTGCTGAGCTAGTGGTAAATTGGTATCCAGCCTGCAGTTGCCAGAGGAGAATTTTTGTCTTGTCTTCACATAGAAGAGAAAATGCAAGGGAGTCTGGGTCAATTAATTGCCTACCGGAGCACTGCCCTGTCTATTTCCAGCAGGGAAAACTGAAGAGGGCTGACTGGTCTACTCTGTAAGTAGAATCTTGCTGGGGGAGCTCAGTTTCAAAATCCTAGAAACCATATGTGTTAGTTTAATCAGAGTTTGGCCCGGAGGAGAGTTAAAATGAAAGGAAATTCCACAATTAGAAGGTGTGGAAGTAGAAAGCAGACTAAATCAAGCCTTTAGAGAGGCAGTGTGGGCTGGTGAGATTACATTCTTAGGGTGTATAATAGGCCAAGGTTTTTATTTCCAGATTCTTTCACTTAAGAGCTTCTATGTCTGAATTCTAGTGGAATGGAGGTCTGTCTCAAGCTTTTCTTCTCCTCCATTGTAAGGGCCTCACCTTTGTCATTTTTACCTACAGATGCAAAAAGGGATAGTGCCAGGTTGGTGTGAGGTCCAAATAGAATTTTGTAGTAGAGGCCTGGACTAGAAGCTTAGCTTTAAAATAGGTTTCTTCTTCCTTTCCAGCATGTATTTCCTATTCTGTCTGGTTGGCGTGCTGCTAAAAAATCAGAATAGAGAAGAGAAGACAGTCTTGTGGTGGGTCAAAGGAGCCAGTTTGTAGTTATTTGGGATCTTTGAGGAAACCCCTGCTAAAATAACTTGGTTGTAAGTTATGGATTGTTTATTGCTAATTAACATTGACATGTAACTGTGTGCATGGAGTGTGGCCCAATTAAGTGGAATGGAGCTGAGGCAGAGCTTGGCTGCTTTCCCAATATGATGGAAAGAATGAAGAGTTTAGAAACTGAGTATAGAAGTTTGGAGGATGAATGTGTTTTTAGTCTTAGGAAATCCAGCACTCACAACCTTGTGAGAGGAGCATATAAAAAAAATAAAAGCAGCACACAACAAAAGATCCAACATCCCACCAATCCGCAATTAGAAAATGGTCTAGAAATGATTTTATTATTCACATATATACGGGCTTCCTCTACCCCTCTACCTCCTTTAGGAACTTTATTCCAGTGTTCATTTCTTTTACCACCTTCTCTATTTTCCTAAAAATATAGGACTAGCCCTTCGATTTGTAAATGATTTAAAGTGTTCCATTTTCAAGGTACTGGGGATAAAAAGATGAATACAACAATCTGCACCTTAAGGAATGTAATCTAGTAAGGTAAAAATACATGTAAACAAATTGAAGTTTATACAGTATTTTAAGTATAGTAATATAAGTATGCTCAAGGGATAGAGATAGCATTGATTAAAAAAACTGCTTAAACTCATGTGAAGTGGGTGAGGTGTTAAGAATGAGATCTTTAAATGCATTTAGGAAGAGAACTGTCAAAGCACTAACCAGCTAACTGATTGCTGTATTATATTTGGCATGATTTTATTTATTTATTAGAGGATGGAAAGGCTACTTTAGATTTGTTCTATTCATTTCTTAGACATAGCCTTGTTAAGGAAAATATGGAATTAATGATAATGTTGTATTTATGTAACTTCAAAATGTTGACTAGAAGATAAACTTTAAAAAAGAATGCCAGGGATATAAAATAAGTCCTTTTTTCACACAATAAGTAAAAATGATAATCGACTTGGTTTTTTACATGGTTGGTCAGCTTCCATTCTTGTTTGTACATAAGTCTTCTCTTTTGATCTATAATCAGTATGTATTTTTAAAATGTACCAATCTATGATACAATTTATTTTTAAAATGGACTTAAACCAGGTCTTCAGTGAGATGAATTTGTTCAGTCTAAGAGACTTTGAACTCTAATTTTTAGGTAGTACTTTGACTACATAAGCAGGGAATTATCTGAGAGTGGTACAATGAAACAAAAATGATTATTAGATTATCTTAAATCAAAACTATGTGTTAATTCATGTTGAAATTAGAAGAATTTGAAGCGAGTTCTTCTTTTTCCTTTTATGCTGTAATGGCTTCAGTTTAAATTATGTTATTCAAAGGGTACTGGAGCTTTCATAAATTATTCATTTGCAAAGATTTAGCTATTTCCAGCCACTTCCCCCGAAACAGAAGGGGTTGAGCAAAATGGTTTCTTTTTGCCAAAGCATTCATAAATATCCCTTTGCCTACTTCCGCAACTAATTTGGGTGTATGTTAGTTTAAGGGACACTTATTTCCCACTATCAGGTTTTCTCATTTAATAGTTCCCCTTTCTAAAACAACTTGGGAATGAGCTTTTTCTCATTCTGATTATCATACAAATTCAGAACTGAGAGAAGAATTAATACTATATATCTGGGGATTTCAGCAACTCTTGAATCTTTCTATGCAAGCTAGTCTTTTCCTTAACATTTGTCGTGTCATGTGCTTCAGGAGAAGTAATAGCTCTTTTCTTTTTATGTCTACCTCTATAGGTATCTATAGCAATATGACTATCCTCTGAGATATTCTTGTTCATGTATTTTTGTTACTGTTAGGATGACTATAAATTAATTACAACAATTTCTAAAATTTGTATTTCTGGGGAGATTTTTCTTAGTCTGGACCAAACCTTCCCATTATTGGACACAGATGGTCAGCTAGTAATCAATCATCTATAATTAGGCTTTGGAAAAACCTCATGAGCAAAGACCCTCGATTTGTAGTCAAAGCTACAATTTGTAAGTAATTATGCAAAATTTATATTCTGCGATCTCTTTGGAAGATTAACTCGGTGATTGAAAGATTGCTTCCCTTCCTGAGACAAGTATTATTTAGTATTATTAAAAGAAAAACTTTAGACAAATTAAATTTAACAGAGTTTAATTGAGGGGAAAAAAAGAACCAATTTACCAATTGCCCAGCCCTCAGAATCAGAACAGATTCAATAACTCGGACTGCCACATGACTGGAGAGGATTTATGGACAGAAGAAGGAAAGTGGCACACAGGAAAGGAAGGTGAAGTATGGAAACAACTGAGTTGCTTACAGCTCAGTGTTTGCCTTGTTTGAACATGGTCTGAACAGTTAGCAGCCTATGAGTGGTTGAAGCTCAGCTGCTATGATTGGCTGAGACTCAGCTATTGTTACAGAGTTAGGTTTTCAGTTCGCTTACCTACTAACTTAAGTTACAGTTCCTATGTAAGAACTCAAGTATGCTAGTACAGGGCTTTCTCACATCAGATTTTCCTTTGATTTAACCACACAAATGGTATTATTTATTGCAGTATTTTCAAGCTTTGTTGGGTTTCAAGTTGTGAGTAATTTACCCTTTTCCTTTGCTTCCCCTTTCCATGCTTCAAGTCCCCTAATTGCAGCTTCTGCCCTTGATTGACCTTGTGGTAAAAAAGAATTAGAGAGGTGGAGGTGAAGAATCAGACTGTGGGACATTTCTATAAGAATGGGTTGAGAAGAGCCAAACTGGAAAAAGTAGTAGGTTCATAAAGCAGTGGCAACCAAAGCCAGAGAGCAAAGTAAGGAAGAGTAAATGGGTGATAAATGGAAGCAACAAATGCAGAAAACTAATCTTGCAAGAAATGTGGTAATGAAGTGAAAGAGACCAAAGGGTAGTAGCTTCAGAGTGTATTAGAATGAGGAAAAATTGTTTGAAGCTAGGACTTGAACATGTTTACCTAGAGGGAGAAGTGAGTGAAAATCGAGAAACTGATGATACAGAAGAGAAAGCATCGTTGTGAAAAAACTCTTGGAAGAGATACAAGAGGCGAGATCAAGAGCTCACATTAGCAAGGAAGCGGAACGTCTTTTGAGAGACTACAATGAGGAAAGAAGTGTGAAGATAGAGATTTTGATGGCAATGGTGTTCAGTTGTTTGGTGAAACACCAGTCTGGATTTTGCTGTGAAGGTACTTTTAAAACTGAATCAACATTCAAAGCAGTAGACTCTGTAAAGCAGATGACTTAAGGGGGGTGGGCCTCATCTGATCAGTTGAAGGCTTTAAGAGTGTAGACTGAGGTCCCCTGAGAAAGAAGGAATAGAAGGAATTCTATTTCTAGACTGCCTCTGGATTTGAGGCTGCAACATCAGTTCTTCCCTGAGTCTCCGGCCTGCCCTGCAAATTTTGAACTTGCTAGCCCCACAATTGCTTGAGCCAATTCCTTAAAATCTCTCTCTCTCTCTCTCTCTCTACACACACACACACTTTATACATACATATATACATACATACTTTATATATACATATACACATACACACACACACATACAAGAGGGGAGATCAAGAGCTCACATTAGCAAAAAAGCAGAACATCTTTTGAGAGACTACAATGAAGAAAGAAGTATGAAGATAGAGATTTTAATGGCCATGGTGTTCAGTTGTTCGGTGAAACACCAGTCTGGATTTTGTTGTGAAGGTACTTTTAAAGATGAATCAACATTCAACGTAGTAGACCCTGAGTCTACCCATATATACATGTCCTATTGCTTCTGTTTCTGTGGGGAATCCTGACTCATGCAGAGGTTCAGGAGGGAGTGGAAGGATTTTGAAGATGCTCAGGCTAGTCATATCAATCTTTTGGTTAAATGGGAGACTAACATATGTGATGAAAGTAAGGAGTGGGCTTAAAAGTAGAGGTTTCCAAAGAACATTTAAGTGGGTACCTGAGACTGTGACTTCTTCCAGAAAAGGGAGTCTGTCTTATTCATTTTATATCCTAAAATCATAGTGCAATAGTTGGCATTTTGAAAGTGCTCAACAAATGCCTGCTGTTTATTGAATAAGCCGAATGAGAGGCCTGTGAAGCCAGTTAAGACTAGATTCTGTGAATTTATTATGGTGAACAAATTACCATGGCTCTGTAACATTTGTGAGAATACAAGTTCTCTGGAAGTAGGGACAGAAAGAATAGACCATGGGATACAGCACGATGAGAACTATTGAGGGTCAGGCGGTTGAGAACAACCAATGTGACAACCAATGAACTATGATGCCCAGGCTGAGTTGAAAAGAAAAAGGAGCCGCACTGGGATTATTGGTCTGGGAGAACAGGAAGGAGCCAAGGGACAAAATAATATAGACAGGGAGAATGTTTAATGGGAGACGTGGGGTAGAGAAATGGGAAGAAAGGACATGTCCATTAATTTCATAACCCTCAGGATTTTGGTGGCAGAATGG